ACATTGGCAGCTCGTATGTGCTCCCCTAAGACAGAGGCAGCGGCGACAGCCAGCAAGTTTTTTATTATTTAACAGACCGGGGGATGGAGTTGTGTACGGCAAGGCGGGCGGCGGGTGGGCCTCAGCGATATCAGAGTCAAGGCGCGTGACGTGCCCAAACCTGCACAAACAGCAACGAAGCATGCACGGTATTCACTGCTGCCTCCACACACACAATTCATTTTTGCTTTTTGCAGCCGCAAAGCCAACCGGACTCGTCACCCGGTATCAAGGTTGCCAAAGCCGGTTTCGCGTCTGATACAAGACTGCGCCTATGCTGGCGGCATACACTTGGCGTGTTGAGTAATAAACATTGCGGCCGCCATCTTTTCACTCTCCGGTTTTGAGGCTTGCTTGGCGTTGTTCTTAATTAGGGTTCCTATTTTTGAGATTGCTGTTCGCCTGCTGTCTTGCGAGCATTCGCCTCGCAATTTGAAGGTCGTTGTTTCGCAGTCATCTCTTGCCATGCGGTCAAAGGTCAAAGGCCATTGACCGTGTCGTATGCGACCCTCGCATACCACGCACCTGGCACAGCCGCGCACCAAACTAAACTCCATCCCTCCTGCTCGGCTTCATGCACGGCTTCACGCCAGCGCTCGCAGGTCATTCTTTGCTCTTCGCTATTTGTCCTATTAACTGCTTTCTGCTTACAATAACGCGCTCGGGTAAGGTTTATGTATTAGTCGTGACAGGTCAAAAACTTCAGACCTTGCATTTTTGTGGCAAATTCGGACCAATATCAAATATCTCATGTTCCGTTTTCAAGTGTACTAATGATACATGTTCTGTCTGCTTAAGGTGCCGTTTATCAGGGTTAAGAAAACCCAACCCTATCTATGGTCGTTCACGACCGTCCAACAGCTAGGGCAGCAAGGGCTGCTGCACCGCGTCCCGACAGGTGCCGCTCTTTAGCACAAGCACCGCCTCGTTACCCTTTTGGCGTCGCCACCAAAAGCACTCTTGTGTATCTCTGGCTAGTTCCTCGGCCACCTCTCCGAAAGGGATTTGTAAAGGATCAACTTAGTTTTAAGAGTATGAAAAAACTCCAATTTAAGGAGTCAACTCTATAATAGTTTCTTTTAACATATTAGTTCTAGAAGATTTTACCGACATAATAGTTACTAAAACCGCCAGCTTGAAGTGGTGCAATCGAAGCAGAAAGCAACAACGTTTTGCGACGCAACAGTGTGAGATATGCAGGTATTTGACCCATCACGCGTTTTTTGTGGAATATTGCTCGCATTTTTCGCGTCCACATCTTTTCATCAAAGGCAGCGAGCTGCAGCGCTCGCGAGCGAATAAGCACTACCAAGCACTATCCCCTTCGGAAAAGCAACTTTGCGTTACCCTCGACTCTCCTATACATTCTCCTGGTTATGCCGGAAGAAAAGTTTTAGTCATGCTTATCAATCACTCCCGCAGAACTTTTCCTGCTTTAATTTGTCGTGCCATAGTTGTCGCTATCGTCTTCTTGCTTCCCGCTTTTTTTGCGTGAAATGGTGGAGGCCGCGGGAACTTGACTGGACCGCGCCTTGCTTTATCTATTACGGCTAAATCGATGCTGTTCCACAAAGCGCCCGACGAAAATTGGGTTTAGCTTCCACTAAACATTTCAATGACATTTAAATGAGGCCGCGCATATAGGCTTGCCCGCCCGCCCACCTGCACGTCACTGGGCGCAGGCACGTTAGGCACCGCCAACGACGCCACCAGCATTGGTCGTACGGAGGATGAAAAGGTGTAATCCGCCCACATATGCACATACACAACCCCCACACCCTCCTCCCGCCACAGCAAGTCGTACTGGCTAGATGACGTACGGTACGACACCCACAGCTGCTTGAGGCAGATGGGGGGCACGCCGCTACGGTCAACGGTAATGAAACCCGGCGGCAGGGAGATGCGCAGGGGGTGATCAGGTTCTTTGCCCGCGGCGGGAATCCAGCGGCGCACTGTCTCACCCGCCCTGAGGTCCCCGCGCTGCAGCAGCACGAAGGGGGAACTCCAGCCCAGCTGCCAGTTCTGCGGCAGCGGAGGCGGGACGACAGCGTCAGGCAAAGAGTGGCGAGGAGGGAGAAGAGTGGGAGAAGAGTGGGAGAAGAGTGGGAGAAGAGTGGGAGAAGAGTGGGAGAAGAGTGGGAGAAGAGTGGGGAGAAGAGTGGGGAGAGGGGTGAGGAGAATCATCATCAGCGCTGCAGGCCAGCAGCCGGACCATTAGGTATAAAGCCCTTTCTAAGTTTTAGCTGAGGGTCAATGACAGCCGGGCAGAGTGCTGGAGTAGGGCCCACGGCCCCTACGAATTTTGGCGAGGCTGAGGGAGAGGGGGAGCGGCCCCTCCCATTCCCCCTAAGACCTGACGGACCGATTTAATCACCACCTAATTTCACAACATGACCTTTCAGGGCTGTACGGCATTTGTCACGCAACCCGTCCGTCATTCTTCTCACACGACCCCTTAAGCCGGCCTGGGCGACACAATGCAAATTTAGCATTTCAGCACTGGCCCTGTACTACTACCCTATCACTCTCCACATGCCTGCGGCGCATTGTAGCAGCGCAGTCCGAAGGATCTTATAGCCCCCATCGCGCTGCTGAAATCGCCGTATTCGGCATCCGGCGAACTGGCGTGCTGCAGCCATAGCGCATGACCCAATTCGTGGAACCATAACCAGGGGTTATCCCACATGTCTCCCGCCAACCATGTGTACGAATAGCCGTACACGTTGGGGTTATCCGGCTTCGGGTCGATTGGTCCCGTAGTGGAGATGCCGGCCCAGGAGCAGTCCGATTCCTGCAGCATGACCGTTGGCCGTTGGCGTTGGCAGTTTGTGCCTGGTCCCAATGCGCAGAGTTTTTTGGACGGCATATACAAGTGCGTGCACAGCTGTAGTGATTGCGGTGGTTGTCAGCGGTTGGTTGATGGTTATGGGGGTTGCGGTGGTGATGGTGTAGGAGCGTGGTGAGGGTCTAGGGTCTTGTGGGGAAGGAGGAGAAAAGGTGAGCAAGTCCCGCTTTTGATTGCGGCTTTGTGTTTTTGTGTGAGTTCGTGGCAGAGGCGGAGGTTGTCGATGCCTGGAAGCGGGGCTTTGCGGCAAGGCGTGAAATGCGCTCCATAGAACGTCGTGTACCTGTGCAGTCTTACTAAAATAGGAAAGCATCAAAGTGTCGATCAGAATTTGAAGAAGAGGCGCATCCCTGCGTGCCCATGTTTCCGGGTTTTCCAAATTGTATGGGCAGGTCTGACCTTGCTTCCCATTACCATGATGCCATATCGCGCTGCCGTACCTGGAAGCCCTGATGACCTCTTGGCATAATCATGACCCGATGATTGTACTGGGACAGGTCGATGCTGAGCTTTTCGGTAGCATACTCCTCCAGCCAATAGAACCACCCATACGGGTTGGTTCCACGGCAACTGCTGACTGTCCAGTTGGGCCCCGAGCAAGGCATTAGGATCGGACCAACAACTGTAGTACCGTTCAAGTCCAGAAGCGTTCTACCGTAGGAACAAGTTTGCCAGTAGTCGGCCAGGTTGGTTGATCCGTCCCTCAGAAGATTCCACACCCCCTGTGTAAGGGACAGAGCAGTGACATTGTACAGAGCTGTGACACTGTACATTATCATCATGTATCATGTATACATTATTATCAGCTTGGACTATGATAGGTTGCGCTGGAGGTTAAAGCTGCACTCCGCATGAGCGGGGTCTGTACGGAAAGCGGAATCCAAACACCTATTATGCGAGCCCGAGAGGCGGTGGTATCCGCGATTAAGTCTCTCCGCAACAACAGATCTGGGTGGTCTCAATCGTGCCCATACCTGCGGAATATGCTATTTGTGCGTATGTGTTACATGGTTGGGGGTGCGTGACCCCATACCTGTAAGACTCCCCATACGAGCCGAAGGCCCAAGGGCAATACTACAACGCCTAAAAGCCACGGAGGACTGGAAAACACCGCATATGCTATTTGTCTGCCCGAACACATCCGTAGTTTGGAGGACTACCCTATGACCAGATCGAAGTGTCTTGCTTGACGCCGATTCACAAAAAAGGCGATTTGTACGGTAAGAGCAGCTGTCGAGGTCTTGCGGTGGGTAGAAGAGCCATGGCGAAGTGTTATGCTCGTGGTTTGGAGTGCCGGTTGACCAAATGGGGTGAGGCTGCTAGCGCACGCTTCCTGTTGCAGGGTGGTTTCCGGGCCAAGGTAGTCACCATATACAACCTACTCTTCCTCTGGCGCCTTACTGACCGGAACAGGAATGGCCCTGACAACACATCCCCGCTCTGTGACTGTCGGTTGATGGAAAGCTTTTGGTCGTGTTCACATTCGCCTGCTTTCTTTGGCTGAGACTGAAGGAGCGCGGCATACATGGCGCCATGCTGCGCGCTCTGAAGTCCTGTTACAGGAGAGCAGGTGTGCGCGTGAAAGCAAACGGTAGGTTGGGGAAACCTTAGGAAAACCTTTCGACTCTGTTTGAGGGGTCAAACAAGGCTGCCCCCTCAGCCCCACATTTTTATTCGGTATTTTCATTTCATTGAGGGCTTTGAGGAATACGTAAAGAGGCCGAAGATCGTATAGCGCCAATAGCTATGTGTGCCAATGGGTGGCCCACTGTTGATGGGTTGAGTGTTCCCCGAATTTCGGGGCCCGAAAGCTGTTCGCAGATGATCTGAATATGCTTGCTCACAATTACCGGCCCCTAGTGTGCCTTCTTCAGGCCCTCGCGGAGTGGTGCACAGCATTTGGCATGACCGTTCATATATCCGTATGTGTGAGGTTGTCTACTTCCACCCCAATCAAATTTGGCGTGCCTTAACCGTGAGCCTTGTGAAGGTCGGTATGCAGCGAGCAGTGGGAAACACTGTGCAGTTTGGAGAGATGCTGTGGGTTGGCAGGCCTGGGCATTTAGGGCTTCATTACGGGCCGGATGCCTTCGTTCAAATCCTGCACAGCGAGCCACACATCCCTGATAGCCAAGTTGCCGTAGGAAGGAACTGTTTCTGCCCAAGACAGTTCTCAAGTGTTTTCAAGTGCAAAGTAGATCCATTCTGTCGTATGGAATCCAGGTGTGGGGGCCACAGTTTATTCCCCAGGTCGTTGGACTACCACCCGACCCGCTTGGGCGTTCCTGCTACTTCGAAAGGTCTCTGGAGAATCGCATGGCCGAGCTGCAACGCACATTTCTGAAGCACCTTTTTGGGTTAGGGAGGATACCGATTAATCGTGTGGTGTTTAGGGAGCTTGGTCAATGGCCCCTCCACCTCCACTGGGCCTCACTTGTTTACCGCTTTTGGAACAGGGTTTTCCTTGCGAAGGCGACTGTGTTTCACAATGTTTTGCGTGAGGCGATACATCTTGCTGCGCGTTCTGATTATACTGCCACCAACTGGGTGCCATGATCCTAGGGGATCTCAGGTGCTTAGGCCATTTCTCGGCGCTGCATCCGGATTTAGATGAAGAGGGGAAGGTCAATTTCAATTCGTCGACCCGACCAAATTTGATTAGGTCATGGAAACTTTAAAGGATCGATGTCATGATGACTGGCAGAACCCCCGTCTTATCACTACACCCCGGGAATTTGTGTCGAACAACCGTAAGTTAAGATGTGCCGGCATACCCATTGGATGGGAACGCCGAAACACACGACGTGCTACATCCCTGCGAAGTCATACTTGTCACTGCTGGTTTTGCCTAGGGGCGTGGCCTTTGGAGGTTAGCCGACCCGGCGATCGGTCGCGCCAAGAGTGTTGGTGTGGGGTCTGTGGCAACAATAATGCAGTCGAAGATGAGTTTCACGTGCTGCTAGAGTGTCCCGCCTGCAAGGACTTGCGGGAAGGGCTCCTCAACCTAGGTATATGCCGGGCTGATATCGAGCCCCTGCATAATATGAGGTCTGTCATGGAGATAGATGATCAGCGCAGATCGTACACAACGTCTGGATGAGGCACGCACGCTGATTGCCAAGTAGTACGCCTGTGATGGGATTCATAAAACCTTTTCTCTTTTTTCATTTTTGTTTCTTCCTTTTTTACTACGCTAGAACTCGCGGAGGTCCATGAGCCTCCTGGGCCTTACGAGCTCTTGCGAGCTTGCAACATAACAGATAACAGCTTTTACGGCTCACGTGGACAAGACGTAAGTTCCAACTCATGTGGTCAGCAGCTAGTAATCATGCCATCCTATGTCCACCCCAAAGTTTGCATATGGCAGAGACACCTCAACCGATATCTTAGTTTGCATCCGTAGGAAACACACATAGTCTAAAGATATTGATCGCTAGATAATCCTATAAAAGATTTGCAGCCTTTACTAAGGAAATGGGGGAATGCAAAGGGGCCAAGCGACACCTACCTCTTTGGAAGTGGCTACACCGCCGCCCTTGTCGCACATATTCACAATAAATATGATTAATCTCAGGTCAGGCGCTACCCAGCGGAGATCGCCCAACACTCCCAAGGTATTGTCGAGAGGATTTTCCTTTGAGGCCACAGCCCCTCGGCGTTGTCGTCCAAAATTTACAGAGCTCTGCCTGATGCGTCCCTCCCTTTCAGCAAGCTGATGCTTGAGTAGTTCCGGGATAGCCGTCGTGCTCGCGCCCACCATGTCCAGATGCATAAGCTCCATGGCAAACAATATAAATAGGTGCCACATGATAGTCACTTTAAGGTAGACAGCATCGCCGGGACGATGCACAGCATTCAGCGCCACTGCCATAAAATAGCTAGTGGCCCCTCTGACGACCAATAGTCATAAGACTTGCAGATAATCTGGAGTCACTGCACGAATGTGCGAGAAGGATAGCTCACAATATTTTTCCCATTGTTAGATCAAATTCCCATTGGACTAGATACTGCATGCTTTGTTCGGCTTCCTTTTCCCTAACAAAAACTAGAGGCTGGTTTTGACGGCAGCATGCTGAATACAATATGGAGTCAATGTATGGCCGGATGCATCAGGACGCCGCATAGTATCATTATGTACGTACCATTTCGCACTGAGTGGTAGGCTTGTACGTCTAGACACCCTTTCGTACACCGGTTTCAAACAGAATGCAACGCCACGACGCTTTCCCTGGTGGGACAATTCCCTACGGTGCCGACTGCGGATTGCACACTCTATCACACAGTATCCATAAAGAAAGGCGAGCAGAGAATGCGCGTCCAGCAATCAACGCCGCCCCTCTTGGCAAACGTTTAAAACGCGCGGGGCGCTACCTCCTCCTCACATAAGAAGCTGATACTTGGCTGTTGATTCCAAATTCGCGCACAACCCTCTGAGAGCTCTACCTTAAGGATCAGGAACAAGCGCATGCGAGTCGGAGTAAAGAGTAAAGCCGCAGTCCGACGTCGAGCGCCCGCGCATCCTCCGACTAAATCGCGATTGCCTCGTTTCCCTCTTTCCAAATCTGAGGAAAATCCTTTTCAGTTCATGCATAGGAATCATGACTTTTCCATGAATTTACCACCCGCCGACCCGCCCGCCACGCATGTGACTGACGTTGCGGCCCTCCCAAAACCCTCTTAGGCCCTTTGACTACTACCTACAGCTACAGACCGAGCCAACGTTGACCAGTCGCTTTATATTATCTCGCTAAACGTGCATGTCTCAAATGGGTAGATACCACTGATGGAAAAAAACAACGGCATGTGCGGCTTCGATGTTGTTCTCCACGACGCAACGCAAGTAGAGATGGTTGACACCGCCGTTGGCCACCCCGCCCAAGGCCGCCATCGTCGGGCAAGAGAGGAAGGTGGCCGACTATGCTACACCGACATTGGTAGGTCCAAATTCCCTCCCAGTGGCCCGTGTTCAGTAACCCGTTCTCTGTCGGCCAGCCAGCCGAGGTCAGCCCCACGCACCCAGCGAAACCCAAGCGAAGCCCATTTATTACACCAGACCCCTCCTGGTTCACGTACACCGTACCAAGACAAGTCGGGTGTCGGCTTGCTCGAAGCCGGAAAAAGGGCGGGGACCCCCTGCATCCGTACAGGCCGGTAGCTATGGCGGCACGTGTGACAATTGATGTGTCAACGTGGTGGGAGCTGTGCTTGTTGCAGCAGTGCTGATGCTGTGGGAGCTATGCTTCCGCCCCACAGCCGCGAGCTTCATCGCGGCACACTGCAACTCTTCGGAGGCCTCGAGCATTGGCCAAGTAGTTGTACAAGCGAGCAGCTTGCGTACTTCATAGAGGAATGAAAGCAAATTTGTCGGCCTGCTGGTGGCATGTCGGAATGCCCGTGCGGGCAAATGGTACTGCAAGCTGGGTGTTCGACTTATAATACGCCGTCATCTTAGAATTCAATTGTAAGATACGCATATGAAGTCCGGTGCTGTCTGTGATGTTTATCCCCAAAGCGCCAGCGGCTTCAGCAGTCCGCCCCACAGCCGCGCGGCACACTGCAACTCTTCGGAGGCCCCGAGCATTTTCCAAAGTAGTTGTACAAACGAGCAGCCTGCGTACTTCATAGAGGAATGAAAGCAATTTGTCGGCCTTCTGGTGGCAAGTCGGAACGCCCGTGCGGCCAAATGGCAAGCTGGGTGTTCGAGTTATCATACGCTGTCATCTCAGAATTCAATTAGTAGATACGCGGCACTTTTTGAGATGAAATTTAGCCTGAGAGGCGTTGATGTGACTTTGACCTCGGTCGATGGAGGCCATTGTTTGTGCTCATACGGCCAAACTTGTTTGTGCTCATACGATTTTTGTTGGCTACAGACGAGATATTTTGCAATAGATAATGCATTATATTACCAATAACGCGTTTCAGCCGGGCGAAATATTATGTTTGGTCCGTTACACACACACACACACATCATCAATGCGCAACATTCTGCATCGCGCAGCCGCACCTTATCTTATACCCATCTAAGCAGCATAAGCCTGCGCGTTCCCTTACACGCGCACACGCAGAGGATATGCTGCACCGGGAAATAGCCATAAAAAACAAGGACTTCCTTCCGAACACAGCCACCGCAACCCCCGCACACTGCACATGGATAAATATACCCTGCAACAAGACAGACAGACAGACAGACAATGTTGCGATCAGTGCGTGGCGGGCACAGAAGCGCAGGGGTGGTTTCCTGGCACTAAACACAGGAGCATGTGCTGGATGATGTGACGAGCGAGTGCGCGTCAGAAAAGACTTTTGCAAATAATTACTGCACAAAAATGCGCAATCCCATGCGCAGCGCCATATATCCCATGCACAACTTCTCGACAAACCTGAATGCGCTGCACACACACTGCATATAGCTTTACATAGCAAAAAGATTTTGTACAACGTTTAATAAATTCGTACAGCTATAAATGTGTCGTTGAAAAAGAATACAATCGCACGAGTTAGATGATGATGCTGTGTTGCTAGCAACCTTTCCTTTTCCGGTTAAATCTCAAAACTCCTGCGACGGCGCATATCTAAATGGTTTCCAAATCCTTGGTACTCGAAACCCTCCCAAGCGCGAGCCCCCTGCTGAGGTCATAGCAGTATCGCATGCCCAGAGGCCACTGCTCCACGACCGCAAACCATGGGGGCCCCACAGACATGTTCACGGTTCATGCCGCAAGCCTGTTGGTTATCTCGTTACCTCGGGGCTAGCAGAGGTGCGCCAGTTCCGCAACTTCAATGCCGCGCCTTTCCTGCCCGCGGGGTCCCCCTCCTCACCCCCGCGCCCAGTTGTCCTGGGCAGCACAACCCCGGTGAGGGGTCACGTCCCTTGTTGCGCAAGAAAGGGTTGAATCTTCTCCCCGCTCTACCAATCTTCTCCTGCAGCTCAAGTCTTTTCAATCCTCCCTGCCACCATTGCTGGCCTCCTTTCTGTTCTATAGCTCCTGCTGTCCCTGCACTTGCTGCTGCTACTGCTGTCCCTGCACTTGCTGCTGCGACTGCTGCTGCTCGTCTGTTTGCTTGGCCCATGCGTGCTGCTGCTACTGCTGTTGTGTCCCGCGCTGCAAGTACAGCGGTAGATCCGTCTGCTGCTGTTGCTCCTGGTGTCGCTCCGGATACTGCCGCGGCCCACAGTAGCTCTGCCCTGACGCGGCCGGCAGCTCACCGACCCTGGGCTCCGAAACCTTCGTTTGCCTCAGCTCCGGAAAGGAAGAGGCGGCGCCCAGCAGTGCCCGTGGCGGGTACCCGGGTCCGCCCCCGGTGGAATGGTTGCCAGAGGGCTGCTCGCCCGGCCCGCTGACACCGCCCCGGCCTCCCGCTTCCGGCGAGCTCCCATGCGGGGCCACCTGGGGCCCGTACGGGACCTGCGGAGGCCCCGGAACGGGCGCGCTAACGCTAGAGCTCGTGCTTGGGGACATAGGCTGCGAACCATGCTGCTTTCCAGACGGCTGCTGCTCCTGCTGCTGCTCTTGCTGCTGCTCTTGCTGCTGCTCCTGCTGTTGCTCCTGCTGCTGCTCCTGCTGCTGCTCTTGCTGCTGCTCTTGCTGCTGCTGCTGCAATAACCTCGGTGGTGGCGGAGCGAGCGTCTGCAGCGCCCGCGTATACGACTCGTCCGGCGATTGGGGCCCTCCAACGGGAGGATAAGAGGTGTAAAGCGGGTATTCCGGCAGGCCTTGCTGGCTCAACCGGTGCGGCGGCGGCGGCGGCAGCAGGCCGTTGCTGGTGGTGTTGTTACAGCTGGTGTGGTGATGTTCATGCTGATGCTGGTGGTGGTGGTGGTGGTGATGCTGGTGTTGGTATTGGTGGTGATGGTGCGGCTGCAAGGACTGCTGTCGCTGTATGTGGTGGCGTGGCATGGCCGGCGGCGAGTCGCGTACCGAGGAGACCGCCAGACGGCTGCTGCCGCCGGTGCTGCCGCTACGATGCAAGACGCGCGCTGAGCCCGACATGCGCGGCGGCGGGTTGAGGTGGATAAACGGCGGCGGGAGCGGCGGCGGTGGCGGCCGCGGCTGCAGCCATGCTACTGCTTCACCTGGTTGTGACCCGGGGGAGCCGTGAAGGGAGCCCTGCGGCGAGTACGGATGCGGGTGAGGGTACGGCAGCGGCGGCGGATGCAGCCAGGGTGGTGCACCGGGTGCCGACGCGCGGCTCTGTGGGGAGCCTGGTGGATGAAAGTACGGCAGCATGGGGGCCACGTTCGCTGCCCGGCTCGGGGGGTTAGGAGAGTGTCGCGCCCGGGAGGTGGTGGGTGTGGGCGGCGACGGTCTGCTGCAGGACTGCCCCGACAGTTGCAACAGCGGCGCACAGGACTCTGGGGGACCAGAAGGGCCTGCGGAGTCCACCGCGACCGGCACTGGCAGTGAAGCGAGGCCACTAGCGGCGGCGGAGGGGGCTGCTGCCGCCGCCGCGGCGGCAGCGGCAATCGGACTGAAGGGCGAGGTGGACGAGGCCACTGGGGAGGGCATGTCCCCTAGGTCCGCCGCGGGACTGCTCGGCTTGGAGTTGCCTGGTGAAGCTCCAGCTCCCGGCACTTCCACAGCGAGTCCCCGTGAGGGCGCCAGGCTGGCAGAGCTGGGGCCTGCGGGTGCCGCCGCCGCCGCCGCCGCCGCCGCTGCTGCTGCTGGCACTGCTGCAGCCGGCGGGGACACCGGCAGTGGCGGTGGCATGAGGCCGCCGTGAACAATACCGCCAGTTCCGCTGCTGCGTCCGGCGCCGGCCCGACTTGCCCCCAGGCTGCTTGCGCGCCGCAGCCAGCCCATGGCAACACGAGCTCCGGCGGCGAAGCCCCAGATGGCCCCAGATGGCGACCCTGCTGCCACGATCTCCCCACCATGCGCCGTTACGCGCTCAGTGCCGCATGCGGGAGGTGGTTCCCCAGTATTAGGCGGGGACATGGGAAGCTGCATCTGCATGGGCGGCGGTCCGCTGTCCCTCTCCGAGTCCCTGCCGGGTGGGCTATACGATCCATCTTCAGCTGCCACTGCCGCTGCCGCCGCCGCTGCCGCCGCCGCTGCACCCGGCCCTAAGCTCCGTTGACGACTAAACATCGCTGCCACGAGGCCCCCTATCCGGTTCCCAAGCCTCCCATCCCCGCCGCTACCCAGTCGCAACGGACGCGGCGGAAGCACGCCGCCGCTGCAACGGTCGTCAACATAACGGGATACGGCAGATGCGGCGGCGTCGCCACCGCTGGCGCTGGCGGCCGCCCTGTCCGGCTGGCCCGGCACTCGGGCTGGGAAGGACGCCAGGCGGCCGAAGCGCGTCGGCGCGGAGGCGCGAGTTGGGTATTCTACACGATGATGATCCGAGAAGCGCTGGTAATAAAACTGCTGCTGCGGTTGCTGCTGCGGTTGCTGCTGGTGCTCTTGCTGCGGCCCCGAAACCACTGGCGTCATGCTCACCCCGCCGTACCCTGAATCCCCCTCTTCCGGGGCCTCCTGGATCACGCTAGCCTTCTGCCAGGTCGCCGCCGGGCTACGCAAACCGCCGGGCTGCCGGATGCCGTACCCCCCATTCACTCCGCCGCTGCCACCCTGCCGCTCCGAAGCGGGCGATCCGGAACTGCCCATGGCACCGCTCCCGGACGGAGAAAAGAAGGTGGACATAACAGCACTCGGCGATTCGTCAGGGTCGCGCACACTTGCGGGGATCGTTAACGGTGTTAGCGCTGGCCCCGGCGAAGGGGCCGTCATCACCGCCGACATGGACTGGCTGCGCATTTGATGAAACCTGGGAGGCTGTTGGGAATGAGCATGCAGGTGGGTATGTGGATGTGGATGTGGATGGTGCCAATGGTGATTATGGTGGGGTGAATGCCCGCCAGGGCTCGGTGCTTCCGTGACTCCCCCGCCGCCGCCGGCGCCGCTGCCGCTGCCGCCAGCGCCAGGTGCCCGCCACGAGTGCCGGTACTGCTGCCGCGGAAAACCAGCCGCTGCCCCTAACCCGCCGTCGGGTCCCGCTGTGCCGTACGCTGCTGCTGCCGCCGCCGCCGCCGCACTGTCCCCAAACGACCCTCCGCGGCTCAGAGCCACGGGCGCCGTTGCGGGAACCGCACTCGGTGATTGCTCTTCGGGGCACAGGAACCCGCCGATTTGCCCCGTAGAGGACACCAGCCGCAGCGCTGAGACGCCGGAAGCCTCCACCAAAAAGTGCGGTGCAGAGCCAGAGCGTGGGCCAGGACCCGGCCCAGGCCCTGCATGGGCGCCTGCCCTGTGCGGTTGCATAGGCATGCGCGCGCTGGACGCGGAGCGTACCCCCTCCGCGGCCTCCTGCTGCAGGAGGCTCCCTGCCGCCATGCAGACGGCGCTGTTCATGCTGCCTGCGCGTATGGCTCGCCCGCCGCTGGTCACGCCCAAGCTTGCCAGCTGGCCGGCAATGGCGGCAATGGTGCTGCTGTTGACGGAGGTGCGCCGATGTCGACGCCTCAGCTTGGAAAGAAAGGAATTGCGCAGGCCGCCCTGGTTGCTGGTGATGCTCTCGATGTCATCCGGCAGCCCGTTGCCGCCACGGCCACTCAGGGCTCTAGTTGCCATGGCGAGAAGCTGGCCATTGGTGAGCATCGGCGCCGCCACGTCCGGGTCTCCGGTAACACCCGCCGCGGGTGTGGCGCCGGTGGCGGAGGCATCGCCGCCGCCGTTGTCCTCACCATTGATGCGGCGATGGCTGCCGCCGTACCGGCCGCTGCGCAGGCCTTTGGTGTTGCCGCTGATGTTCGCCGCCGCCAGGAGGTTTCCCAGCGCCCCCGCCTGCCCCATGAACAGCTCATCGTCCATCCTTTCCAAGTAAGCTGTAAATTCCTTAATGTCCAGCCGGCCGTTGTTGTCCTTGTCAGCACCCCGGAAGATAATTTCGAGATACTTTTTATCTTCGTCAGTGAGCCGCTCGCCAACGTACTGCGTCAGCGTGTGGGCGAACAAACGAGGTTTTGCGAACTGGGTTTTGCAAATCTTAGATTGTATGAATGAAGCGGCATGTGCTGAACGAGGAGGGTGCGTCGGTGGGTCCGTGCGTGCATGTGGCGGGATGGGGCAGGTGGAGGTGGAAGGTAGCGGGCGGGTATAGGTAGGGACAAGTGATGATCGGAAGAAGTGTAATTTCCTTCAGCTCGATGGCGGAGTGAGTGGCCTAAGGGAAGGATTGTGACGAAGCCCTTCCGGGCGGGTGGGGCGGTCCGAACGGCGGGTCGGAGTGTGCCCACCCCACTGTCATCTCTCAGCAAACCCAATCTGAAAAAGGGCCCACCCGCATACCTGGAAGCTCCGCTCGACAGCTGTGAGCGTGAGGACACGGTCATCGTTACCCTCGCCCTCCTGAATGGCAAGCTGATGGAAGACGGACAACAGTTCCTTTTCGTCCGTTGCGGTGAGAAACTTCGTAAGGAACTCAGGAAAATCAACAACTGAATCCCCGTTGCTGTCCAGCTCGTACATGACAGCATCAAGCTCCTGGGGCGTGGGGCTGCCGCCCATCGCCTCCATGACGAAAAACAAGTCATCCTTTGTAAAGTAACCCTTATCTTCTGTGTCAAAAAGCTGAAACACCTCCTTCAGTAGCTCAACCTATGGCAGGAATAGGATTAAACAACCCTCATTCACCTGTACAAATCCACTAAACTGCCACGGTGGGCGTCGAACGTGGCTAAACAAGATCAATCCTAAGTGTTGAAACAGGTTTGACTCAAACTTCTCTTGCTTGACCCGCTTTATGATAAGGCTCCTCACGCCCTTACTACACGGAAGTGTATTTGCAAGCACAAGGCACGCACGCTCAACGATGCAATATAAACAAACTTTGATCGGACATTTAGCTTTCGCTGTCATGTCATTGCCTTGCTCCAGTTAGAACCGCATGAATAACACGTGCACAGTTGACAGCCCCCCATTTCCATTCAGCAAAACATACCTGTTGCACAGTAAGATGTGGCCAGTGCGCTCGAAGCTGTTCCCGTGGCCAGGCTCTGCGAGACCAAGGCTTTGCCTCGTTTTCAGCCTGCCGAGCAACGGTCTCCGGCGGAACTGCTGTCCTTGAGCTCTGAAGAGCTCGACGCAAAGACATCAGACCACTCCCTCCATTGGCTCGCCTCCTTCACGCCAACGGCGTGTCACCGAGTAGAGATGCAGATGCTAGTGTAAGCTTATGGCACGTGTATCACAATGTTAATGATAGATATGCAAAAATGTTATTTATTTGCCGGGGACTTCCCAGGTTTGACCATGTGAAAGTTGAACTGAAACATGTTCCAGTAGTACAATTTTCCCAACAAATGGTGCACTGTTTGCAAGCGATAGATTGTCAATTCCTTGGCCCATAATTAATTGCGTATTTAGTATAAGTTACCAGAGCTTATGATGTTTGTTCAATTTGTTCAAGTGTCTCAAGAATGACCACAGAGTCGCGCATGAAGCAGAAACAAGTCCATCAAGATGCAAATTGTACTCGCCTACATGGATGGCGGGTGCGGCCATCGCTCCAACCGCGCCGCATCCCGACTGCTTCTGTGATGGCGCAGCAGGCTCCGGAAGACGGGCCGTCCACTTCCGACTCCCACCACGATAGCTGGCCAACTCCATGGACCAGGCGGCATGTCGCCATTGGAGCTGCGGTCGCGCTGGGTGCAATGGCAGGAAGCGACCCCGTGCAAGCCGCGAAGACGGTAGATAATCCCAACAAAACCCCGCAGCTTCTGCCTCAACACAGCTCCATCTCTGTATGCAGTACCTGTTCACCTCCTCTGCTGCAAACTCACAAAGCGAGCCTTACGGCCATCATACATCATCTGCCGCGCCGGGGACTTGCCGGGGATTTGCCAAGCCGCGCTGCTGCCCCTACTTCAGTCATGCTTGCGTCACCTCTCATTTTTATGTGATGATCTTTTTCCATCCCATCCCGCCCTACCCGCGTCTTTGCTACGCCGCTGCCCCTACCCGTCTTTGACTAGGTGGTCCTTCGCGACGGTACGGAGGTGCAGGCGTTCGAGCACGGCATGACACTGGCCATCGTGGCCCTGCGCGGCTCCATCCCCGCCCAATGGACTCTGGACTTCCAGACTGCCATCGGGAAGTACTGCGGCTTCTCTTTGGATCAGAGAATGCAGCTGGCGGATATATTCAAGGTAGGTGAGGACGGGGGCTCCAGGGGGGGGGAGTCCAGAGGGGGGAAGCGCAGGGGTGCAGGGAAAGGGGTTGGGTTACCGGTGGAAGGAGTGTAAAAGTGAGAATGGGGAAGTTCTCACGGAAGCCCAGGGCGGCAGCACCTGCAACACGCACACCTCCGTGCATCCAGGGAGGTAAACACCGGATGACCCCGTTGAAACTGTTTTCGCTTCATCTTCGCAGCCCCACTGGAGACTCAACCCCCGTTCAATCTGTGCATCATCGCATTCCTGCCTCCCGCACAACGACCATTCCGTACCCCAAAAAATGGTTACCCTGCATTCGTTCGCTTAAACAGTCGTTCATTAAGACGTTCACCCTTTCGTTTAGGAGCTTTCCGACACCAGTGGGGAGAACAAGCGCAGTGCGGGGCTGGCGGACGTCATCACCCTGGGGGACATCTGGATGGGTGCCGCCATCCAGAGGGGGCTGCTGCAGCCCATCCCTGGAGCCACCTCCAGCCGCTGGTACCGCATGTTGCCGCAGCGACTGAGACAACTGGGGCACAGGAACGCGGCGGGAATGCCGGACCCTACAGGAGAAGTGTACGGTGCGCCGTACAGGTAGTTAATGCACGTGTGGAAGGGAGACAGATCTCACGGGGTTGGTGGTTCAGGGTTTTTGAACTGGGGTTGAAAACGCCGCGCCGCGGGATGATAAGGGTGCGGGGAGGGGGTGTTGACAGCGCCCCTTTGTCGGCCGGGGGAAGGGAGAGGAGTGCAATTGTGTAATCCGTAACTCTCCCTCGCCGCCACCCAATCGACCTTCTTTGATCTCCCCCCCCCCCAACACACACACACACATGCGCACCTGCGTCATCAGTGATTCCCCCTTAACTTATTCGCCGTGTTGCCGTGCCGCCTCCCTCGCCCCCTTCTCCCCTGTTTATTGAACGATGTATAACCCCCCGTCATTTAGGTGGGGCTGCACCCTTATAGCTTACCGCCGCGACCGCCTTCTTCGCCGCGGTGGTCGGCCCATTCTGGACTGGTGCGATCTGCTACAGCCGGCACTTGCGGGCCGTGTGGCCATGTTGGACTCGCCCAGGGAGCTGCTGGCTGCGGCAGTGCGGAGTCTGGCAGCAGAAAACGCGGGTTTGGGGGACGGAGGCGGCAGGGGGGTGGACGGGGGGAAGTCGGGGAGGGCTTGGGTGTCCGTCAACGCCAGCGCGCGGGAGCTGGCTGCCGCGGGTATCAGCGAGGAGGTGCTGCAGGTACGTGCAGTTCAGGAGGCGAAGCGTGGAGGGGGTTGGAAGTGAACACCGGGGTGAGCACCGGGTCGAAAATCAGTCGTGTTCTTGTTTCCGTGCTACCGTTTGAACTGCATACCACCGCTGCAAACTCGCACTCCTCCTCGAGGATCCTCCTCTTTTTGATGTGTTGTGTTTTTGTGGGCGCCCCCATTCCTCTGCTCCCACCACCACCACCACCACCACCACCATCACCACCGCCATCACCGCCACCCCGCCACCCAGGGTCGCGTGGCAGCCTTCCGGCGGCAGGTGCGGTTGTTCAGCAGTCAGGACCACGTGCGGGCGCTGCAGGCGGGGGATGTGTGGGCGGTGGTGGGCTACTCGCAGGAGCTGGTGCAGGTGGGTTGGGGCCCTGGGAATGGCGGATGAGGTAGGGGTAGGGTTGCTCACCGCCCCGGCACACCGCCCCGGCCCTCCCTTTTACCTGTGCAGACCTGAGCTGGTGCTTACCTACCACCCGCCCTAATGTCATGTCGCCACACACCCAAACCATCGCATGCGGTCGCATACTGGCCCCGGTCCCCGGCTGAAACCTCTTGACCTGCACACACCACGACCCTCGCCCTTCGTCACCTGCTCACCTGCAGCTGGCTGAGCGGTCTGGTAGCAGTATAGAGCTGCTGGCGCCGCTATCCGGGACTCAGCTGTGGGCGGATGTGTGGGCGGTGCCCGCGGGGGCCAGGGTGAGTGGGGGCCGCCGGGTGCGAGCCGTGTGGAGGGGGGGGAGAGAGGGGTTGGGTTTGGCGGAACGGGGTTGGAACGGGAGTTGCCCGGGTGGCCGTCGGAAGGGGGGGCAGTGGGGGCTTGTGGGTGTGTGGGGGCAAGGGTCAATAAGAGCCGTACTGGCTGGCTAGCTGGCTGACTGCAGGTTACGACACTTCACAACATCCCACACGTTCGCGAGTATGTTATCAGGGCCCAGAAGACCTTTTTTTCCTGGTCCAGGTCTGTTCCTATACCCCGCTCCCGGCCTCGGTCAACCTCACTGCGATGTTGACGATAGCTCGCTGCTGTGGCAGCGGTTGCAGACCGCCTGCTCGCATGCCGCCGCCGCTACCACAGCGGCACACCTGGTTTCATCTTTCCATCAAAAGCTTGCATGACAGCAGGACGGCAACCCCAGCCCCCCACCCCCTCGCCCACCCGCGTCGGCAGTGGATCCTTTTGACGCCGGCCGTAGCTTTCTTTTTTCCACATTCTTGCACCCTTCTGTAAAGCTCCCCCCTTCTATCTATCTATCAGTCCAACCAACCTCAACCCAAACCCCGCCACTGCTGCCCCCCACCCCCACCACCGGTGGGACGTCAGGGAGGTCACCGCCACAGTGGCCCCAGCCCGCTGCTTCCCGTGTGGATCGAGTTCACTTTGTCACCGGGGCGCATTACGGGTGAGGTGGCCGCCTGGCCCCGGGCGGGGTGGGGCCCCAGTCCCGCCAAAAGGGGAGACATACGTCCCCGCAGATTAGCACTGTTGACGCCCAAGCAAGAACTGCACGAGTCGCAAGCAACGGACGGAATGGTGGCCAAGGGAGAAATCGCTAACACATCACTTGCAAGAGCCTGCAGCACCCTGTATCTGTATTTGTACCGGACCGCGTCGAAGGGAAGGCCTTTTGGGATCAATCTCCATCCTGCACTACACTACCACCACGCCACTCTCCCTGGCTGCGGCGTCTGCAGTGTTTTCTGAGTGCTAGAGCTCCGTTAGTGCTTTCTTGCGACATGCGTCTCAACGTTTCCGTCCTTCCTACGCACCACTCGCCCGCAGGGCAGCCCAGTCTGAAGGGCGGTGCCCCGGCAGCGCTGCTACCCGCAACCCCCGAGCCCACCGATCCCGCAGCTACCCGCCTGCTGGCCGCGATACACGAACACCGCCGGCACCTGCTGGAGGCTCGTGCCGCAGCGGAAAGCCAGGGGCCGCTGGCAGCCGCACGCCGGGTGTCCCTGCTGAAGCCCTTTCTCAGTGACCCGTGGGTCAGTCATGCCTCTGGCGCCGGCCTAAATGGGGCCGGGAGTGGGGGCAAGCGGCACGATGTTGCAGGGGAGGAGAGCCATGGGGCAGCCATGGGGACGGTGGCGGCAGCGACTCCGACCCGTGGGTCCGTATTTCCATCCGTTGAGCTGCACCACGCCAATGGATACCTGCCTGCAGCGCCGTTGCTTGCGCGGAGCGAGTTTTTACTGCCGTTGCCTGATGAGGCTACGGCAGAGATGTACCGCAGGGTGCTGGGCGATATGACGAAGACAACACCAGCGGGAGCCTCCGCGTCCTGAGGGACAGGCGTCCATTGGTTGCTACCAGGTCTCCTACTTTGTTGCTATTACTTGGTGCTTACCAGATGCATGGTTGCTCGTTACTTGGTGCTTTGTTTCTGCCCTCTATCTATGTGAGGTGTCATATCCCCCGTTCGGCAACTGGGGCGCGAGTGGAGGGTTCTTAGGGCGTCGTTTTAGCGAGTCCGGTTGGTGGTTGCTTGTGTTTGCAAGACTCCCTCGCTTTGCTGGTCGTGGTATGACTGTTCATTGCTAAAATCCAACTAATAAATCTAATGGACTAGCATTATAATCTGACTAAAGTAAACTGGCTTGCAGGTGCTAGATTATAGGAGCTGGGGCTGGGACCCTGACCTCCCGTCAGGCAAGAGGGGGGCTGCAGGCGATGGACAAAACCTGGCCAGCGAGCAAGTGACCATGCACTCATGCGCGCACTGGTTCCTGTTGTTGAGGGAAAACAACAAGCACCCCACTGATAGGCGCAGAGACAGACGAGGCCAGGATAGCTTGCGATTGAGCAACCGTGTCCCCGCAGTTAGCCTTTTTGTGCCGTGTGATGGCACCGATGACTCCCGGGAATGCAGCGAGTTTGGACAACGCCGACATGTTTACTTACAATTTGCAGCAAGATTATTTGGTGCTCGCAGACGCGCATTTTGGCTACATTCTTGTCCAGGCGGTTGATTGACAGCGGGAGCCGCATTGTGTCAGTTCACTCGCCCCCGATACCCCGCAGTTGCGAGGTGCCATTAGGGGGGTGCGGTGTGAAAAACGTTGGGCGAGATCCTATGAAGGAATGGATACGGCTTACGGTGCAGTCGACGTGTATGTATATCCGGTAACAAAACAAACAGCGCAAGGAGGCCCGAAGGTGTCGACGAACCAAATACGGAAAGCCGGGTCATATGTGCATGGATGCAGGGCGAAGGTTGGCATACGGTGCCGTACGTTTTCCCATCCCAAATCACTGAAAATCGCGCAATGCCCGAGTGCAAGAAAAAAGTGAACCCAACAGGGACACGGCCCCACGCAACACCCTTGGACTGGACGACAGGTTGAGGAGGTGGAGACCAGGAGGTGGCGGGCCGGGAGCCCCCAACAATCCAGCGGCCATAAACCGGCCCCACATTCGTTCCTTACACCAGCAGCAGTAGTAGCAGTAGTTCCAGCTGGTTAATTGGCGAATACTGGGCAAATACTGGGTCTCACACCGTTTCACGGGCTATGTGGAAGCTGCGGGGAAGGCGCGCTGCACCAGCTCGAAGAACTCCTTCTTGCGGCTGAGGAAGACGGATTCATGCACAAAACAAAAAAAGGAGGCCGTCAGGAAAGGGATTGTTTGGAGTACAGGCCAGCGGCCCACTTAGAGGATACCGATAAACATCTAAACACAGCGCAGAGGTCATCCATATCGAATCATCAGGCGCTATCTTGGAAACCGACATCAACAATGAAAACTGAAGGTAGAATGCGCGGCCGCAAGACACATGTGTTATCCACGACGCAAGAGTCATGACCCATAGACCAGGTGAAATTCCCGCGCGCACGGCACTGCACGCCGCGCTTCCTGGGCTTTGCACTACCGTGCATATCTGGTTTCGGAGCGCTGGTTTCCATACGCAGCGCGCCTCACTGCAAGACACGCGCAATCTGGCATTAACAGCGCGCCAGCGCTGAGGTGTCCGTGTGTGTGCAAAAGAGCTCAAACTGCGGCTGCGTCTTTGGCCGCGGTCCCTTACCGGTGATACTCCGCCCACCGCATGCGAGAATAGTCCAGGTAGTCAAAGTCGATGGGGGAGTAGCGCGCCTGGATGAAGGACCATACGCCCCAGTACGCGTGCGAAGCCAGCGCAAACACGCACGCCTCCGCCACCAGGCAGTCCAAGACCGCCTCCTCCGCGGCAGCCAGCGCCGCCGCTGCCTCACCACCGTCGCCATCGCCCTCACCGCCGCGTTCGGCCTCGTTGTCGACGCCCTGACCTTGGTTGCTGTTGCCGCTGTCCCGCTGCTGCTGTTGCCGGGGAGCCATCCAGCGCTCCCTGGCCAGCTGTTGCAACTCCCGTGGAGAGAGGTAGTGGCGGAAAAACACCTTTTGCTGCTCCGGGGAGGGAAATCTGGGGAGGGGGGCAACAAGCGGGTGGGGTTTTGGGCGGGGGAAAACACCTCCGTACGGTTGAAGCACCGGGGGAAGGGGGGTGGGCTGGGAGTGGGGAAATGGACATCGAGACGTTGCGAGGGCCGGAGGGAAACCCGCGGACATGGGACAGGGGGGAACAAGGTCTGGAGCTGAGGTGGTTGAGATTGGTTGAAGTCTCCGTGTGGCATCACGAGCAGAGTGAGGCGGAAAAGGGGGACGGGGGTGCGGAGACAACGGCAGTGCTGCCGTGGAGGACCGGAAGGAGCGACAGTTGGTTTCGGGTTTAGACGTGGGCCGCACTTGTGAGGTCACTGATGGCCGGCCTCAGGCCTTACCTTCGCCGCCCCAAACCGGCTTTCGCAGGCGTGTCTCGTTTTACAACCTTCCCTGCTAGGTTCGACCCCTCTGTCCTCTTCACCACACCGGGGCCCGTACAGCAGGACGGCAACCCTAGGCCCGCACCGCTAACCTGTCGTACACGCAGTCGAAGCCTGCATATTCGTTAAAGTGGTTGCCCCAGTCAAAGCCCCGTGGGCCGCGACAACTGTACTCGAAGTCGATAAACTGTAGCTCGCCGCCCGCCAGCACATCACCGTCAGCCGTACCCGTGGCGGTACCTGCCGTACCCGTCATCGCTGCTATCCTGTCTACCCGCGCTGCCGCCAGGTCATTCCCACTCTGCCCATTCCGCTCTTGGTCTTGCAGCGGCTCCGCCTGCTGCGCCTGGTGCTGTACAACAAGGATGTTTCCGGCTAGAAGGTCGTTGTGACACAAAACCCGGGTGGACCCCACCCGCTCGCACATCTCCCGCAGCGCGGTCAGCTCCGTGCGCATGGCCCTGAAATCCACTTTGTCATACACCGCCTGCTTGGCGGGATCGTGTGCAAACGACAACCCTTCTGCCATCGCCAACCAGCAAAACATGGAGTCCCACTGGGAAGGTGCAGCCTCCGAAACCGCCCCCGGACTACCGGAAACGGTTGCAGATCCACCGGCTTCCTCTGAGGATGCCGTGGGTACCCCGGTAGGGTTGGGCGCCGAGGCCGCCGCAGCGGCGGCAGTGGCGGCGGCCTCGGCGTCCATTTTTAGGTCGTGGAATGCGCGGAGGCGACGTGCGATGTGTGGGATGAACCGTGGGTCGGACATTTCCTCCGGGGTGAGGGTCTTGGCGGTGAGGAACTGCTCGATGCGGCCGTTGCCGAATAGCCCAACCACCTGCAGTTGGGGAATTTCGAATCCGGTTCTGGATCTAAACCTGGATCTGGATCCGAACATGGATCACAATAGGCCAAGGCCAGACCCGTTGGGGACAAGGTAGAATAGACGATGCGAGCTGCCGGATCGTTCACGAGGACTTGGACAGGCGCTCGACCGTCAGTGAGTTCTTAAACCTAGACCAAGGCTGGGGGATCCAGAAAGAGTGTACGTTGCATGACAGCTCGGGACCACAGGGCAACTAGGGAAAGGGAAGAGGGCTCCGAAATCAAATCCCAAACCCTGCACAAGACACACACCAGTGCGCCGAAGCCCGCTTGGTTGAGCCTCAGCAGCAGGTGTTTCTCAGCCTCCCGGTCGATCAGGAGCTCCGTCTTGTCGCCAAAGACCTGCATGCACGCATGCATGGATGCATGCATGGATGGATAGTGAAGGTGAGTGGGGGCCGTGGGGCCTGTGTGCTATGCAATACACGGAGCGATGAAGGCTGGGGGAAAGAGGCCGTAGCTCTCTTTCCGCAGAACCCCCAACCTAAACCTTCAACATACAGGATTAATTCCCCGCTTCATGCCACTCCTTCCCGGCCTCATGCCACCTTTAGCGCTGCCTGGGGAACACGCACCTTGACGGCCACGGGCTGCAACGGCGGCGGTGGCTCCACCTTCACCAAAAGATTGGAGATCCCACCACTGATGCGGGATACCTGGAGGGGGGTTGGAGGTATCGTAATGGGGGGACGGAGGCCAAGGGGGTTCCCCAGGAGGACCGGGGCAGGAGGGCAACGGGGGGGGGGGCAGAGGGAGGGCGGAATTCCTTTGCATTTCATGGACCGATCGTAAGGGGTGGGCGCTGGTTAAGTGTAAGTCTCATACAGGCTGATAAGTACAAGTTAAAAGCCGCACCTGGTGCAGCGTTGATTGTGTCGTCTGGTTCAAGGCCGTGTACGTTAGCAACAGGAAACGGTCCCACATCAATGCAGCCCGCTTCGCGCTTTACCTGCATATCTTGTGCTTGCAGATCGCTCCATCCTTTTAGCAATCGCGTGCAGAGCAGTTTAACCTGTCGCTCAGCCTCCTCCTGTCCATGGCTAAAATTGACGCACTCCGGGTGCTCAGGAACCCCCATCGATTGGAAATTATGAAAGTTGCGACAAGCAAAGCTTAACCTTTATAAGTCTGTTGCCGCTTGTAGATCACTGCAGGCACGGGCAGTTGTGCTTCACCCCGGATGTACTGTATTGGTCGAGGGCCCAACGATACCCTTACACCAACTGTCTCTGCGATACCCTCGGCAACTGGACATCATGGCATGAGTAACTATGACAACGCTCAAGTGGCCTACTAATTTGTTATCTGCAGCTCGCAATAAGGTTTTCTGTTTTGATACCATGCGAGTCTTAAGCATGGCTAGCGTCTTCTTGTTAACGCTGCTCTTTACTGCGTCTAGCGTCCTCGGATCATCCTATCCTACCGAAGTTATTGAATTGACAGATGCAAACTTTGAACACGACACGCAAGCGTCCTCCGGACAGACGACGGGCGTCTGGGCGGTGTTGTTCACCGACAGCACCTTGAAACGCCACGAACGCGCGACGCTTGTGCTAACGGAGTTGGCAAACGATGAGGAAAAGGAGCTCATCTATGCACAGGCACGTTTCCTTCCGGGTTTCGTGATGATCGCAGCCCAGCTGACAGCTGCAGGACTATTGGCCGAGTCGCTGCCCAAAACCTTCCCATCGCATGACCAGCTCATAGCAGACACAGGCGCTGTCCACAGCGCCTTTCCCTCTCCTAGTTCCCCACCCCAGCGACTCGCTTCCGGCTCACGGTCACTTGCTGCCCCCGGTTAGCCAGACCATCACCACCGCCCAACCCACTTTTTCCAGCTCAGCCAGATATCTATCATCAGGGTGTGCACGGCACATGCCCAGTGTATCCACTGGGCGCTATGGCCATCCTACGAGGCAGTTTCCATTCCCTCGGTGCCACACGGGCTATATATTATCCGCCCGTTTGTGGCGATGCGGACAGCTTGGGAGCACCCACATGCCATCAAGCGAACAAGGACTCTGTAAAATCAGCCACAGGTCCATCGCTCTGTTGTTATGGTGTGTGATGGTTTCTTAACGGTATAGGGCTATATGTATGAAGCCCAGGACCAGATTATACCCTCCGAAAGTTATGGAGCTGGCTTGCCAGAAAGCTACGGCGGCATCGGCCTCGTGGGCCATGTTGGGGCTGATACGGGTTTCTTATTGTTGTTGTTGTTGTTGTTTTGACCACGATTGCGGTTGCGGTTGTGGTGGCTGCGCAGGTGGACGTGGCTCGCAATCTCAAGCTGGCTCGTCGCTTTGGTGAGGTGATCCTCCCGCCCTGCATACTGCTGTTCAGGAACCGTCAGGTAGGCGGTTGCGGCTGCGGAATACTATGTGGGCTCAGGTGTTTGGATGGCTTGCTAGGTGGCTAGGTGGCTAGGTGGCTGGGTAGTAAGCAGGTCTGTGTGGGCGAGGGGCTGGCTAAGTACCCGCACGTGACAGGAAGGGGGGGAGGAGGGCGGGGTGGGCCCGGGTACCGATTGCCGAGTATCGGCTAGGAGGGGCTTCCGCGGCAACCTACTCTCAGACCACCAACCTACAAAGCAGCTGCCCTCGCTATTCTGTGTTGCACGGCCCTGTGCACGCGGAAGCTGTGATAGCCCCATCCTGGCCGTCGCCACCTTTCCCTGGCCATCTCTCCTCCTCCCCTGGACTTCATCCTTGCCTCCCCCGGCCCATGTGGGAGGTCAGCAGCTGGTGGCAGCTCACATGCACACGCGCACACAACGTACCTCCACATTTCTCCTCAAGGCTCGGCCCACCCATAACCCATAAGGCCCTTCCTGGCTCCTTTCTGTGGTGCTACTGCTACTGCTACTGCCACGGCTGCCGCTACTACGACTGCTGTTTCTGCAGATGTACATGTTTGACCAGTCTTTTGACCAGGAGGACATAGTTCAACGGATTCGTGACTTTGTGACCAGTGGTTATGCACTGGCGGTGAGTGGGCCGGCTGCGCTCCGGGGTGTGGCCTGGGAGGGGTGGGCCCGGAATGGGGGGGAGGTGGCAGCGGGGGAGGGGGTGGTCGAGGGGCTGAAGCCTGAGTCTTCCCCCTTCCGAAAAACCGAAGACCACCAGGACCACCAGCTTGCTGGTACCACCTACCACGCCAGCTCGGCGCCATGTAAGTCCCTGGATAGAAGCTCTTGATGGGTGGGCTCACTCTACCGGTGTGCCTCTCATGCACCGCAACCCTGTCAAAACCCTCACGCAATCAGCCGCCATCATCCCCTCCCCGTCACACTACCGCCGCGCGCTGCCAGGCGCCCGTGCAGCCCGTGCTCCTTCCCTACTTTCCTAAAACACAACACAAGCACACATACATACACACACACGTGGGCCCCCCTCGTCCCTCCCCACCTGTGACCTCACTAGGTGTCTGGCTCACCTCACCTTTTCCCGTAACCCCCACCTCCCCTCCACACCAACCCCCCACTAGGAACCCCTCGACGTCCCCGAGCATCGCGAGCGCCAACTTAACCTGGTGAGATTGGCTACCCTGGGTGTGGAGGGGTCGGGGTGGGAGCTCGCGAGGGCGCATGCATGTATGGCGATGTGGGAGACGGTCGTTCCCTGCCCGTGAGGCCCAAGTTGCACTCACTACCCTCTGCGCAGGAGGCTTTCGAGGCGGGCCAGCAGGTGGACTACAAGACGGTGGGCTTTGCAGTGCTCATGATCGTGGGGGTGAGTGCGCGGAGCCGGACTAGAGGTCAAGTTGCATCGTTTTAAGTACGTGTGATGCTTGCGAGAGAGAGTGTGTGTGTGTGTGAGAGGGAGGAAAGGAACCCCTCCGGGACCCCCCATTGACGCCTTTTTGAAGTCTTTGGTTCTATGGCTCAGCGCTCCCAATGCGCCCGGGCTCCCAGGTGCGCCGCTCTACTTCGTGTAGGGACTCGTTTGGGGACATGGTGGGAGAAAGGATGCAGTGGGGAGGATGTCAAAATCTCCCTTGGTTCGTGTATGTTTCATGCAATGTTCTGCTACTGCTGCTACATTTGCTGCGGTATAGGGTTTGATGTTCCAAACTTGGGCCATCATGAATAAGGACAAGTTCCGGCCAGAGCCGGGGACGCCGGAGGCTGCTGCTGCGGCTGCTGCCGCCACTAAAGCGGCGTCGGCGCCATCGGCCTCGGGGTCTGAAAAGGAGAAGGCGCCGGCCGCCGGGGCAGCCGTGGCCGCCGCCGCTGCCCCTGCTGCCGGTGCCGGGTCCCCCTCTTCGGCCTCCAAGGGCGGGTCGGCCAAGGGCAGGGTTAAAAGAACCAAGGCGTCATAATGCCCCGCACTAGCCAGTGGGTTCGGTGACGCCATATATATGCGACCCGTGGGTCCTCCGTGTGGGTGACGGCGCCTGGGGATGCGGCAGTTAGGCCCCACAGGCCCCGCAGGGTGACCTGGTAGTTTAGGGACCTAATGCGGATACGGAGGGTGAGGTGTGGAGTGGAGGGCGCGTTTTGGCTGCCCGCTATCGCTGCCCATGTGTACGGCAAGGACATGAGTGCAGATGAAAATGGTGGGGTAACGCGCGTCTTATCGGTCATCGCGCACCGGCCATAATATGGTGGGTCGGTAGCGCGGACCGGTTGTCCTGGAGCGGCTTGGTCAGGCAACCCCCAAGTTTACATGATATGGTCGGCATAATGTACCTCGATATGATTGGAATTTCGGCCGAAGAGTGAGACCACCGGCCACACTCGCTTAGGCGTACCGCACTTTGGGAAACTTCTCGCGATAAATTGAAGCAATAATGCAACATGTTCATAATCTCCTATGGGTTTTAAGAAACAGGTTCCTCATCCTCGCAACTTCAACAAAAACGAGTTGCAACGCCGCAGCAGCGGCCGGCAACTAAATATGATGCAGCAGGGAAAACGCAGCCGCCTCTGCAGCAAAATTGGAAAGACGTCACATCTCCTGGAGGATTCGTTTAGAGCAAGGCTACACAACCCAACAATTCCAGAAATGGCCAAGTTAGGCCATATGTAGGCATAGGCCCTAATAACTCGCTCGGGTGGTCATGCAGCACCTGCTCTCCGGCGCGAAACCGGGTGGCAAAGGACGCCATTCAAAATGTGACGCACATACATACGTGCATGCTCACCACCCCACATGCCAAATAACCCCTTCATGTATACGACACTCCGCCAGACCTACCAAGACACCGCATAGACACGCATACGGCACGCCGAGAAGCAGCAGCTGCAGCAGTGGCAGCCCCTGCAGTCCCGCAGCTCTGGAGACGACCAGCCTCGGCCCCCACAGGCACGGCAGTCTGAGCTCTTCCGGCTGTGGCGGCTGCACCTCTTCACCTCGCACTTTTCACGCGAGTTACCGACACTCTTCACAGCGTCGCGGCGAGAGTAACACCGTAGCAAGGCCTGCTCCCGCACCGTCTCTTTCGAGCCCGTGAGCCCAAAGAATCATCTCTTCGTCTCCCTCCGCCGCCGCCTCGTCTCTCACCCCACCCCATCCTCACATTCCCCTTCTCAGCTGTGGGCTTAGGTGGGGTCCAACCCCATCCCCCCCAATCCACACGGAGCTCAGACAGCAGCCACCACCGCCACTGGCGCCACCACCTCAGCAATTTCCGGAGAAGGCGCTGCTGGTGCCAAGTATTCCTTGAGCGCCGCCGCTGCGGCCTTGGTCGCCGCCTCGTCCTTCCGCTCCTTGACCACTCGCAGCAACCTGTGGTAGGCCGCTGCGACGCCCTTGTCACCCGGCGGCCGCTTGGCTCGGAAGAGCTCCACCAGCCGGGTCAGGAGCGCCACCTCGGCGCCCTCAGCGGCCAGCTGATCTACCGTCTATCCAGAGCGAGGGGTAGTGAACGGCGGTGGAACAAGGTTAGGCGCGAAGGTGCGGCACGGTGCAGGATAATGTGGCTCTAAGGCTCGGCAGAGATAGCTGCGGTGGCGTCTGCTTACACGGCCCATAGGATCCGCGAGCCCGTGGGTCCACCCGTCCACGGGTTCCTTAGCACCAACACTTCCTCCATCGACCTCTTTTGATGCTCCGTGGGACAACAGGGCCCCCCCGTCACGTGGCTGCGAGAGCACAGGCAGCAAGGCACCCTCCGTCCCGTCCCGCCCCATCCTGTCCCGCCGCTAACATCAGCCTTACCTCCGCTGCGAAGTAGGTCGACAGGGCGAAGGTGTCAGCGTTGGCGAACATCTCCAGGATGAGCGGCTTACCGTTGGGCATCCGCAGCGCTATCTCGCAAATGCGTGCCAGCCACTTCTTGCGTACGGGCCTAAGAAAACGTAGAGCAAGCAGCGTAGCAGGCAGTGCGAAGCATGGCCGTCAGTCAGGTAGTGCGATGCGAAATGAGGCTGATATGACTTGAGGCGATATAGGTGGGATGGCGTGAAGAGAAGTACGGCAGGTGTGGGACGAGTGGATCCAGATTGAGGTGCTGGCGCGGGTGAATTGTACGGAAGGAAGGAGGGGTTTTTGAGGGGGGTCTCTGCTGGAGCTGAAGGGCCCCGACGTGACGGGGCCCTGCTTGCGCAGCAGCAGCAGCCGCAGCCACCTTTGGGGCATTCAACTCTCGACGTGGACACTGGCGAAAGCACCTGTCCCAACATGTGGCCGTCCAACACGAGGAACATAGTAGGGGGATATCGTCATATCCCCTCAACGTCATGAATCATGAGAGAAACCAGAGGGGCCAGGAAGGCATGCGGCAAGAAAAAACTGAGGGAGGGGCTGTACATAAAGGTCAGCGCTTTGCACGATAGCACGTGCTTGCGGTGCGCTAGTGGTATGGGGCCCTGTCATGGTGGATGAGATATGCCATGTGCCAGTATAGTGGGAATTATATGAAAGGAAATCAGAAATGAACTGCCAGCGTCCAGTACGGGTGGGCCACGCTGCCAGAAGGTTTAGTTAAGACCATGGCCATTTCCGTAATTTTCAGTGAGCATGCTCCCATACAACTGGACAGCAATCGCACGGAGGAACCTAGCGTTCCACTGGCTGAGCTTATGCAGCAGCAATACGGCAAGGATGGTCAGTGGTCAGTCTCACTACCACAACGTACGCACCAGTCGAGCTCGAGAGCACCTGCCATTTCGCGCTTAGTTGCGACGTGCCGGGCGATCAGCGCAAGCGAGCGCTGGGCCTGCTCCAAGGAACGGATGCTCTCTACCTGAATTGCCAAAAAAACAGGGCAAGCCCGTGTACAACTGGCAACTGTAAGATGCGAGAGATCATAGCAAGGAGAGTGGATCGCAGGCTCACCATAACGCGACCGTCCGCTTTTGGCAGTGTCCCTCTTGTAGCCACTCGCTCTTGCATAGCCAGGTAGACGTCGCCAAAGCTGACACGCTCCATCTCTCGCCGTAGAGCATTACATGGCTTTGCTCGCTTAGCTTGGGCATATCTTGTGCTGGTTACAGGAATCCCGACCGCACGAATGCGTGAGCACGGACGGATACAGGAGTTGCAAGGCCGTTGGATTACGTTGCTCATCATTACTATGAAACGTGAAAGGATTTAGAGCTAGCCAAAATAGCCTTGAGAGATGTGTTGCAGTGTTGAGCAGTTGTGTAAGGGCTCTTTCAACTCTACACTGGCGTCACATACACGACCCTGTATGTGTGAGGTTTTATTATGAGGCTTTCCTATGCCTTCAATGTCCAGGGGGTTTGTCTGAAATGCATTCGATTCAGTTGAGGTAGTTGAAGCTCTGCTATGCTTGCTCGCGATCAGCGTTACAAACGACTTGCTGCATACGGTCAGTACCTTCTAGCCATCTGAGGATGATCCAAAGATGAAAGCGAGTCACCTTTGTTGTTCTCACTGTGAGTGCCAAAGCCAACACAACTCCGAACGAACAGACTGCAAGTCATGGTAGGCTCATTAGCTCTAGGACTAAACAGACTTTAGATTTTCTGGCATTTCAAAATTAAGTTAGCGGCACAGGGAACAATTCTAACTGCAGTCCACCACTTTCGGAAAGTGCCCATACTCTCAGTCATACAGCTAAAACGTTATAGATTTATGTCCAGCAGTGGCCAGCACCTTCGTCGGCGCGGATCCAGCGGGTCGTTGGCGTCTCGTCGTCCCGATGGCCGCCCTCGTCCGTTCGCTCGCCCTTGGAGATGCCCAACGCACGGGCCCCCGGAAATGCCATCTACATGCAGTGCCACCGGAGGACACACCTCTGCCGCCGTTTACTCTAGAGAAGCGCCATCACGTATGTGTCTATCGACAAACTATGACGCCCTTGGAATTGCGCCACAGCGCGCACGTGGAGTCGGCACCTGCCGTCGGCATCCGTACCGCAGAATGCCGCAGAATGCCGCCACCGAGCATCATCCCGGCAGTGGCAGCAGTGGCAGTAGCAGGCCCAGCGACGCTCGGCAGCGGAATGGCGGCGATAGAGGCGCTGGAGGCTGCGTGTTGCACCCAGGCAAAAGAGAGGTCCCCAGCAATGCACCCAAAAAAGATTCAGGCGGCAGGGGTGGGGTGGTTGCCACCCGTGCCTCCGCCTCCTCCTCAGCTCCCTGGAGTGATACCCAGAGCGACCTAGAACCGAAGGAGGAGGAGGGCGAGGAGGAGGAGGGCGAGGAGGAGGAGGACTTCATTGATGTCGAAGAGGATGAGGATGAAGAGGAGGAGGGCGTCGGCTCGCTCGCTCGTTCCGTCGTACAGGTACGGCACCTGCAGCAGGACTGTCGGGAACCTTCCCTGCATTGTACCGTACGACGTCCTATGTACGACAATGCGTTGACTGTTGCACGCCGCGCAGGTCCGCACGTTGCACCGAGTGCCAAACTTCATCCGGCCGTGGGAAGAGGGCCATGACGCGGAGTCGAGATCCAGCGGCTTCGTGGTGGAGGCGGGGGTGGTTTCGGAGTCGGAAGGCCCCCCGCGGCGGCAGCTGTTGCTGATGACCACTGCTGGTAGTGTGGAGTTTGCTCGCAAGGTGAGAGCAGAGGTGAAGTCTGCGCAGATGTGCAATATGCTCATAAGCGAGGTGGTCGAGTGGCGGCGGTGGCGGCTGGTCGCTTGGGCGCCTGTCCGGCGGCCCTTCCTGTCTGCGCGCCTTACCTGCTGGCGGAACGCCCTCTATAACGCCCCCTGTAACGCCCCCTGTAACGCCCCGGGGACTGCACCTCGCCACAACGCCACACAGGTGGAGGTCTGCCGGGCAGCAGATGACGCCATGCCGTACACTGCCTCTGTGGTGGCCGTGTGCCTGGATCTAGACGTAGCGCTCCTACGGGTGGACGAGCCAGGGTTCTGGGGGCCGTACGATAGGGGCACAAGCGGCATTGGTAGCGCCGCTAGGGGCGGCAGTCGCCGGCGCAGCCGCGGACGCCAGGCATCTGCCGTACACGACGAGGATGAGGCTGATGACGACGGATCTAGCAGTAGCAGCAGCAGTACGGCACTTGTACCGATACAGCTGGACCGTGGCCTACCTCACCTCCGAAAGCCGGTGGTGGTTGCAGGTCTGGTTGTTGGTGTTCCTCCTCGCGCGTGTATCCGTACGGGGAGGTTGAGGTGTGGGAAACAAGGAACTGCCCAAGAAGAAGAAAAGGAAGGAAAATGGAGGATAAAATGATAAAAGAGAAAAAGAGAAAAACAAATTTAAAAAATGAAGAAAAAAGAAGAATTAAAAAGGAAAGTTTACAGGAGAATCAAAAAGAAGCATTAAAGGAAGAAGCAATGGAAGAAAGGGGAGATTTGGATCTTGAAAGTGGACCCCGGAATCGAACCGGAGTTTGTAGACCGGGAGCCAGAAGGACGTGTTATGTGACACCAGTGATCCAATGCGGCAGTGAGCCACCTGCTACGTCCCAGATGTCCCCTACCCCTTTCGGTACCTGACCAGGCGGTGGCCGCGGACTGGGGGCCTCGTGCAGCAGCCCTGACTCACACCCGCACACAGAAACCTCCTTTAACACCCCTTTTCCCGCGCTCCTCCTCCCCCGCCTCCTGCTTTCACCCCCGTCTCCACGCCCCCCCCGCTCTTCCCCCGTTCAGGCTTCACGCTGGGCGGCGGCAGCCTGTGTTTCACGCGCGGTGTGGTGTCACGCATTGAGGTGGTGGAGTACTCCCACAGCGGGCGGGCGCTGCTGGCGCTGCAAGTAGACGCGCCGCTCAACAACGGCGGCTGGGGGGCGCCCGCCGTGTGCCCCGCCAGTGGCCGGTGTGTGGGTATGGCCTTCCAGAAGTTCACCTCTCAGACGTGGATGGAGAGGTGAGGCTTCGGGCGGAGGGGGGCCACCGAGGTGGCTACCACCACCACCACCACCACCACCACCACCATAATCATCATCATCACCACCATCATCATCATCATCATCAGCAGCAGCAGCAGCAGCAGCAGCGAAATAACATTTTTTAAGGAAGCGGGGCGAAGGCGGAGTGAGGGGTGGGCCGGCGCATGCTGATAGTCGAGTAGTAAGTCCGAGCTCGCTTTCTCTAGTTACTGTTTTCTCTCGCCGATTTGGTTCGTAACCCCTTTTTCTTTTTCCTTTTTGTTTCTTCCTTCTTTTTATGAACTACTCTAGAACTCGCGGAGGTCCATGTGCGCCTCCTGGCTCCTCCGGGCCGGCGATACATGGCCGCCCGGGTGTGTGGGGGATGAATAGCCCCAGGGCGGGGTCTGGGGTCTTGGGCTTGGGGAAGAGCTGGCGTGTACGGATCTTTGGATCTCCGCGGGCAGGTAGTTGCATGGCGCGGGGTTGTAGGGGGGTACTTCTGATTGGTGGTGATGGGGGGAAGGTGGGCGGGGTGTTGACGTCCCTGCCGGGCCGGGCCCGCAAAGTCCCGGTAACAGCAAGCGGGTGATAATAATGCACATACATACGCACATACATACGCACATACACATACATACACACGGACTTGGAGGTATCGGAGCCTCTATCCTCACGTGACGCATTATGTACTTCGGTGCGGTAACGGTGGCCGATTTTGTACGGATACATGGGCGGCAGACTCATGGGGGCTCCTCCACCACTCTTTGTCCTGCTGCTGCTGCTACCGCTGCTGCTGTACCCCACTGCCACGAACCCTCGTACAACCGTCGTACGTGTGACGACCTGCTGTTAGGTATGATGACGTGGCGTCCGAGGTGTACCAGGACGACGGGGGAGGAGAGGATGGCGACGGCGGCGGCGACGGGGGAGGGGGAGGGGAGGAGGGTGACGGCGACGACGGGGGGGGAGCTCCTGGCCAGGTACCGTACTTGCCGTACCTTCCCATGAAGGGGACGCGCGCGGGTGCTGGGCGGGGGTGGACGTGTCATGCACGTATGTGTTTGTGGGGTGGGACGGTTGAGGTGGCGCTGGTGATACTGATAGTGCTGGTAGGTTGCAGTGTTGCTCTTACGGGCAGGTTCTGCGAACCCGCCATACGACACTGTCGTACCCAGCTCGCTGCGTCAGCAGCTGGAGACAGTAGCGTTTCTTCTCCTTCTTTGTTGTTGTCTGTTCAATCTTACCTCCATATCGCGCACTTCATCCCTTTGCCGTACAGCTTGCCGTACGCCCCTGCCCCTGCCCTTGCGGACCTCCCGCTCCTTTTCCTTCTCGCCATTTCATCCCATCTGGCCTATGTCCGCGTGTCGGAAGGGGGCCGATAGGGAGCTACCGGAGGTTTCTCCTTTCCCTCCCTCCCTTTCCTCCTCCGGGGGAATCTCTCTCCCTCGGCTTGTTGCCTGTCGAGGCCATGTTACGGCCATAGATTTCTGACCATGTGAAATCAGTCTCGCTGGGGCGGGGGCCGGGGGGTGGCGGCTGCACTACGAAACACACCGCCGACACCCCCCGTAACATGTAGTTGTATATGATTCGGTCCATGGGCCCCCCGGGTTTGACGGACCCCTCCGCGCCTGTGCGGACATTGTAACTGTACAAAACACAGCCGTACAGCAGTACGACGGGTTGTCCATCACCACTTTCTCTGCGGCAATGACGTCTCCGTCAGGAGGGCGGGGAGGATGTCACCCAGGTCGCACAACTCCGCTCCTCTCGAGGGCCCACTTAGCATCTCACGCTCGGCTGCGACTTACTTGCTTTGCCTTGTGCCGTACGCCTTATTTTCCGTACGTCCTAACAGACACACATACACACACGCACGTATCTACAAACCCTCGTGTCCAGGAGTACGACGAGGACGCTGAGAACATCGGCTATCTGGTCCCCGCGCAGCTGCTACAGCTCGTGTTGGACGACTACAGCCGCCATATGTCCTACCAGTACGCATTCACATCATCCTCACCGCACAGCCCTCCTCATCCTGCTACTGCCACCACAGCCGCCGCCGCTTCCCGTCGCGGCCTCAGCGGCACCGGCGCGAAGCGCGGCAAGGGCAGTGGCGGCGCACGCGCCGCCACGGCCGCGGCTTCGGGTTCAGATTCTGGGGTTGTGACCCGTGGGTCTGCTCCGCTGTACCTGGATGGGCGGCCGCGGCTGGGTCTGCGGTACCAGCGCCTGGAGTCCCCGGCGCTGCGGCGGTCTCTGGGGTTATCCCGTGGGGAGTCCGGTGTCCTGGTGACGGGTGTGGACCCGACAGGCTCAGCGGCAGGGGCGGTGCAGGTGGGGTGGGGTGGGGGGGGGAGGTGGAGTTGGGAGGTGGGGGGAGGTGGGAGGGGAAGGAGAAGGTGTGGGGGGGAAGGTGGGGGCACGGAAAGGACCAGTGGGGGGCAGCGTCGAAAGTACGTGCCTGAGGGGTGTTGTAGGCCCCGGGTGTGTGTGTAGGTTGGGTGGGGGAGGGCCACCACCGGCTGCCAGTGAGGGACCTCCCGGGTAGTGTACGGCAATGGGCAAATGCGGAACAGCCGGCAGCTGTGTCGTATTATTTGTCCGTGATGACCTGTCCTCACGTGTGTTTAGTTTCCTCCTCCCCCCTCTCCCCTCCCCCCTCCGCCCCCCCCCCCAGGTCCATGACGTGCTGCTTGCGGTGGGCGGTAGGCAGGTACGGTTTGCGTTGCGGGTTGCGGGACGGGTCGTTATGGGGTGGGCGAAGGCGTTGTGATGTGGACGTGCTAGTGAGCGGTTTCCGGGGGTGTTTGGTGGTGGTGGTGGTGGTGGTGGTGGGGGGGGGGGGAAAGGAGAGTTCGTGAGGGGATGGTAGGACTACTCCCACACGCCCGGGTTCCATCCATTGTAGCTCCTACCACATGCACATGCTTGAACACCAACAGCCATACACACAGACACACACACAGACGCACGCCTCCATACCTCTCCCTCCCCCCTGCCTCCAAGCCCCCAGGTAGCCAACGATGGCACCACTCTGCTCTGGCCGGGTCAGCGAGTTCTGTTCGGCCACTGGCCGGCAGTTGCGCAAGTGGGGGAGCTACTGACCGTCAAGGTGGGTCCAGGGGGGGGAGGGGTGAAATAAGGTCCGCGGATGGAGGGAATGTGTGTATACCGGCACACACACCGGGATCTGTCAGGGTCGGAGTATAGCGACGTTGCTTTTTCCGTTCCCCTCCAAGATACATAAGAGGCGCGCCGAGACAAGCGCATGAATTTACTCTTCGTCCGGTTTTGGGGAAATCCAAAATTCCAAAGAGCACTTAACTCCGACAAAATGCAAAAAAAGGACCTCAGTGGAGATCACTTGCAGCAGGCTGCCCGCCACAGGTCGCCTTTCGCCGGGGCAAAGGGCGGTGAGGGATGTGATGGGGATGTGATGGAGGGGCGCCTCCCGGGTGGGTGTCAGTGTTGCTGCGAACTGTGAACTGGCACACACACGCACACTGCAACGCCATGGTCACCATGGCTCATAGCCCTGATGACTGCTCGCCTGCCCTCACTTTCCCTTTCCCGGAACCGTGTACGGCGGTGTACGGCACGGTACGGCAGGTGCTCAGAGGGAGGACGCGGCTAGAGCTCCAAGTCAGGTGGGCTAGACGCGTGTGGCGTGCGGCAGCTGGTAGATGGTAGCCGGATCAGGACCAGAGCTGCTGAATGAAGTGAAGTGCGCTGTCTTGAAGCTGGTGACCGGGGCTCGGTGTGATTGCAGCAGCCGGATGGGATCAAGGGCGGGCAGTCCTCAAACCAGTCCAGTCCAGTCCCAGGTAACGAAAACAAAGATCCTCCTCCCTCCCTCCCTCCCTCCCTCCCTCCCTTCTCCCTCCTCCCTCCCCTTGGTGCATGCCAACTGTAATCTAACCCCACCCCTTCACCTCCTCCTTCACCTCCACACACCCCCTCCCTTGCAGGCTTCGTGGCGCGGGTGACTCCTTCCTGCCCGTGTCCCTAGGTCCCTCCAGGCGGCCCAACTTCCTGGTGGTGGGGCCCTTGGTGTTCACCGCCTTCTCATTGCCGCTGTGGTGAGAGCCATAGTGCCGTACTCGTACGGGAGCGCCGTACATAATAACGTTAAGGGTTCTCATAGCGAGGCGCACTCGGGAAGGGTCCTCAAGCCCCCTCCCCTCCCCCTTCCCGCTCAGCTCACAACATGGGGGAAAGGGAAGGAGCAGCACACGCCACTGCAGCCACGGCTGCGCTGTGCGGTATCCTCAGCAGCGGCAAATTTAAACCTCCTCTGAGACGTAACATCCGAACAGCTGCGCCCCGGGCTAACACGCTACATTAGGCCGCGCATGTGCGCACCCCGTCACGTGCTCTTGATGTTGAGGTGCCGTACCATGTTGGCTGTTGGCTGCCGCACGTCCCCCTCCCAACCCCCCCTCCACCCGCAGGTACGAGCTGAGCTGGTCGCGGCGGCACTTGGCGAGCGCTGCATCACGGCGGTCCGTCCACTCGGGTTTGGTGCCCATACTGGGTGCCATGGAGTGGGGCCTGCCTGCGGAAGGTGGGGCGAGTGGGGGAAAGACGAACCACACGCGATTGAAGCTGCTGCCAGGGCAAGGTAGTAGCAACCGAAAGAACTGACCGAAAGACGTCCGTGGCGACTGTGACGACTGTAACCTCGGGATGACGACTGTAACCTCGAGATGAAGAATTGACGTAGATGTTGGAAGTCCTACCTACCTAAGCCGCCAGAGAAAAGGCTGAATAGTATAGCCAAACCGTAAACTAGTAGGTGTAGAAAAAGTAGTGAAGGCGGCGAGAAAAATAGTGCTGACGTAAAAGTGGCGTAAAGTTGCTGGCCAGGTGAGAAAGCTGCATTGCTGATACTGAAAGGCTGCCGGTATGCAAGTGCTCCTCCCAACCCCCAAAAAAAAACTAGAACGCGCGACTGACCCGACCGACCCAAACTAAACTATTCCGGCTAGCCTACCGACGCCAACGCGAAATACCAAAGAAGCTCGAACCACCTTTTGGACTCACCTGGCCAGGCCGCCGAAGTAGTGGCAAAAGGCACATCCAAAAACAAAAGGGTAACAAAGAGGTGAGGCGGGTGCGATAAAGGCGAGTGGGGGGCGGGGGGCCCCCACATGGCGCCATGCCCTCAGTGAAGATTGACCTGGGGGGGGGTCCCACTGGTTTGGGGGCCACCCCGGCAGCGGCCCCGAGGGAGGGGAGGGAGGGCTCCCTGCTCACCCCCACTCCTCCCTGAATGACGTCTGGTGAGGTGCTGGTGCGGTGCTGGTTGCGACTGAAACGCTGTTGATTCATGCCATTATGAGGCCTGCTGCTATTGTTGTTGCTGGTGCTGCTGGTGCTGCTTGTGCTCTGTTGTTTCGGCAGTTCCTGTTGCTTGGGAGGCCGGGCCGGGCCCGGTGCTGAAACCGGCCTCCCCTGCTCCTGCCTTGCCCCCTCGTGCCCTGTTCAGGTGAGGGTGAGGAAGTGGTGGTGCTGACGGAGGTGCTCGGCTGCGGGGAGGATGGCGGCGGAGAGGAAACGTCCTCCTCCTCCTCTTCTTCTTCTTCTTCTTCTCCTTCTTTGGGAGGGGCCCTTGAAGACGAGCAGACGACAGCGGCCACCATCACCACCACCACCAGTGGCAGTAGCAGTACGGTGATTACAGATGGAGGCGGGGGTGTAGGTGAGGAGGCGGCGGCATGGTCGCGGCTGCTGCAAGGTCCCAGTCGTCTGGCCTCTGTCAACGGTCAACGGTGCCGTAACCTGGTGGAGCTTGCGGCGGCGGTGGTGGCGGCGTCGAAGGCCGCGGAGGCCGGAACGCCACATGCTGACGGCGCCGTCGACGGCGGCGACGGCGACGGCGGCGGCGGCAGCCAGCCACATCACCGGGTGTGTTTCGCAGCCGCCGCCACGTACTTTTCATCCCCTGAAATTGTACGACCTACGAAGCTCCTTGCCTCTTCAACCCCCCTTGTCTAAATAAATGACCATGAACCTAAGTCCTCTCCCCGCTTCTCGTCTCCGTCCCCCTCTTCCTGTCTTCTGGGGTGCTGCCATCCCGCACTGGAATCCGCCACGCCTGCCCCCACCCCCCTCCTTTCCCGTTCCGTGTTATTCTCAGTGAGAGCTGCCCACCACAGTTCAGCTGAGCTGAGCTGAGCTGAGCTGAGCTGCCTAGCACCTCGAGAGAACAACGTCCTATCCGAACCCCTTGCGATGTGCGCGTGTATTGCAGTTCCTGCGCTTCTGTTTTGAGCCTGGTGGCGATCGCGGTGTCGACAGTGAAAGCAATGCGAGTAGCAGCGGCCGCAGCAGTGGCAGTGGCGGTAGTGGTGGTGGTCCCGGGGTAACCCGGGGGAGCTGGCTGGCGGTCCTGGACTCGTCCCGTGTCGCCGCCGACACGCGGGCGGTGTTGAAACACCACTCCCTGAGTGCGGCCATGTCTGGGGAGCTCAGGAGGTGAGGTGGTGTGTGTGTGTGTGTGTGTGTGTGTGTGTGTGTGTGTGTGTGTGTGTGTGTGTGTGTGTGTGTGCGGCGGGGGGGTTCCATGTGCCCCCCCTCAGATGGTGGGGTAACCTCATGACCGGACCCCCTCACGGGGGTTTAGCCCACATGGGCCCTTATCCAGGTGGCAAGTGGAGGCTGGGCTGGGGCCCGGGGGTAGAGAGGGGGCGGGGGACTGGCCGCAGGGCGGTAAGGGGGTTGAGAAGGGGGAGGAGGAGGATTTGGGAACATCGTGGTAGCGCATTGCGGGGCGGGGTGGGTGGGGTGGAGTGGAGTGGAGTGGGGTAGGCTGAGCGCTGCCGCGGGTTACCCCAAATACTCTAGCAGTGTATGTGTTTATGTCTGCGGGGGATGACGGGCCGCTCCCCGCGACCGAGCTGGGTGCTGGCAAGTGACATTGGCAGCACGTCTGTCCGGATCGCCTGCGCGCCGGGCTACTGGCCTAACACCGTTGACTATGGATTCGATTGACTATGGATTTCGATCTGATGCCGGTCCGATTTCGATCTGATGCTTGGTCCTTCGGTGGCCCCAAACTCTAAAACCCCAAAGCCGTAACCCCACCCCCATCCCGCCCCCACCCTGCTCCCAGACGTTTGTTCACGAACTGGCCCTTCGAGTCGGGTGCCCCGGCCAGCGGCACCCCCCGACAGCGGCGGCGGCAGGGCCGCAGGGTGGGGCTGTCGGGGCGCAGGTGAGGAGCTGCGTGGGGAGCTGCGTGGGGGGGAGGAGGAGCTGTCTGCACCCAAACGATGGAGCGGCGTGAGTGAGGATGGCAAAGGGAGCAGCTTACAAGGTGGTACTGGTGCTGGGGGCTGGGAAGCCGACACCACCCCGCCCGGCACGTGTGGATCTTGTGTGCCCGGGTGTATTGGGGCCCGGTAGCACCCCCGGGGTCGGATTGCTCCCTACTTCCCAGCTACGTGTGGCTGTGTGTGTATATATGTATGTCTGTGTGTATATGTTATAATATACATTTTATATATATTATATATGGTGGATAAGGAGGCCCGGGAGGAGGAAGGGGAGGGGGAGGGGGAGGAAGCGGCTGCGGCGCTCCGTGTTTCGCTGTTCTCCATCTGCGGCGCTGTGCCCCGCGCGCTGCGGGCTCTACCGGGGGGGTTCACCTGCGTGCGTCTTGTTGAGTGCACCGGGACCCGGGTACTTGGGTCGTGTGGAATGTTTACTGGTTTGAGTTGGGTTGGGGTTGGGGTGCCCTTGCTGGCCGATTGTGGGGAGGGTGGGCGGGTGGGCGGCGCGCTGCGAGCTGAATTGCCTGGTCGGTTAGTTGGTCAGTCGGTCGGTCGCTTCGATGGGTTTGGCATGCCCCTGGGACCACCTGAACGCGAATTCGCAATTGTGGGTGGGGGGAGGGGAGGCAACGTGCGGACAGCGCGCGAGGTCGAGATGCTAGCCAGGGGTGTTATCTCGGGGTTCGCGCTGCGGATGTGTGTGTCCTCTGGACACTGCAAGTTTTCCCGGCCATTGTTTTGTATGGATGCGACGACGACAGGAGCTATCATCATTGCTTAATAGGTGGTGAGGCGGGAAACGATTAAGGCTGGAGGATTTATACTAATGGAATGTAGGATTAAATATAGATAATTGCGTCAGAAATGCTTTCCCAAACGTAAGGATGATTGCTGCTGTGGTGGCGCCTGCACCGGCACGCAGATGCGTTGATCTGTTGTCCACGTAATCTGTGACCCATGGGTCGTAGAACCTGAAAATCTTTCGGGATCGAATGTGGCTTCCTGATGGATACTTCGTTTCGCTGATTAGGGGTCGGTCTGGCTGTAAGTAAAATTTCTCGAAAGCAGCAAGGTGGGGATTCAGGCGAAACAAGGCGAGGTGGCAGAGTTCCGCAAAGGCCACCTGAACCACCTGGTGACGCAAATGCCGGACGGTCGGCTGGCCTTCGCCTCGAAAATACAGGCCTTAAAAGCCGCTTTCATGGCATCAGCGACATACAAAATGGGCTTTTCCCCAAATTACGCCAGAAAGAAAAACATCCCACTTGCAAAGGTCCTTCAAACTTATAAGACGCAAAGCAGACCTAGCCTAACAGACACGAGCTAAGTAATTGTAAAAAAAATAGTTAACAGGAAGCAAGGAAGCGGAGATATAGTAGCACGAGCCTCGCAGGCCATCGATTGTCAAGAACTCGCCGGACCCTAGTTCCGATGGACACCGACAAGAGCTCCCCCAGCTTGGAGGATATTGGCCGAGCTCACCGCAGCCTTCAGGAGGCTGAGATGATGGCGGCCCGGAAGGCCAAGGCCCTGCCAGGTGCGAGGCCTGTCTACCTGTGGCTCTGTCGGTGACGACGCGAATAGCGGGGGGAAGGCGCACCTGCAGCGTTGAGATGCGAGGCACACACAGGCCCACATAGAAAGGGCGAGAGAGAGAGAGAGAGAGAGGGAGAGGGAGAGAGCAGCAGGGTGAAGGCGAGGACGTACAGTGAACGTGTGGGGGGGAGAGGGCACGGAAGCGCGTCACGTTTACGCGGTCCCGGTTTCGCCGGCGGTGTAGTGATCCATTCCTTAGGGTGAGGCATGGATGCTTTTTTTTATGCGTTCGGACGGATGTTGGCGCGGAAGACGATAAGTCTCTGCCACAGCTGGCCGGAGTGGAAATGCGGTTACGCGGTTGAAACGCTTCTTTTTCTCCGTGCCCTTTCGCCGAAAGGAAGGTTGCCCTGCCGACCTCAACGTCTAAGTTAAAGCCGACGCCGACGCAGCTGCAAGCCTTCGCGACAGCCGCGTCTACGCGACGTATCATGCTTGTCTGCTTTACGATGCTCAATTATAAGTATTGCCCAATTTCCGGTATTCTTTGTCTGGTCTAATTTCCAAAAAACATCACCTATTCTTTTTCATATAGCGATGTCTTTTTTTTGTCGTCCAGCTCCGCTTCCTCATCGGCCAGTTCCGCTTCCTCATCGTCCAGCTCCGCTTTCTTGTCGTCCAGCTCTCTTCCTTGTCGTTCATCCAGCTCCGCTTTCTTGTCGTCCAGCTCCGCTTTCTTGTCGTCCAGCTCTCTTCCTTGTCGTCCAGCTCTCTTCCTTGTCGTCCAGCTCCGCTTCCTTATCGTCCAGTTTCAGATCGTTACCTCACATAATGTAACTCGCGACCCTTCATGTCTTTTTATTTCTCCTCCTCTTCCTCTTCTTTCTTCCTCTTCCTCACCACCTACTGCCCATCAGGCGACCCAAGCAATGACCTGGGGAGGCTGGAGACCGACCAGGGCTCGCAGGAAGTGGGGCGGGCGCTGCAGCACGCCAAGGAGGTGGGCCGGCAGCTGCGCACCCGGGTGGCAGTGAGGACGAATGGCGGTGGTGGTGCGAACGACCCATGGGTCAGTTGGGATTTGCGACCCGCTTCCATTGCTGACCCGCCCCCGCCCACTTCTGGCACTGCGCAGGGTCATCAGGGCAGTGTGCTGTCCGCGGTAAGCCTCGTGTGTATGTGTATGTGTGGGTGGGTGGGTGGGGGAAATATGGTCGGGAGGGCAATGGCGGTTGAGAAGCCCCGTACTCCTCAGAAGCCGTAGCCAGCAGGCATCCTGCATCCTGGCAGCACGATGAAGAGGTAATACACAGATGTATGTGCATGTGCCGCCCTCACTCCTGGATCTCCAGATGGCCACCTCACCCCCCTCCCCTCCCCCTTCCCCGGGCCAAATGATCGGAAAGGCCGCTCAGAAGCTGTCGTCCGTACTCGGCAACTTCTCCGAGTCCATCAAGGTACTGTTGCCCCTTCCCCGTGCCATTGTCCTCTGATGATGATGATGATGATGATGATGATGATGATGATGATGATGATGATGATGGTGATGATGATGATGATGATGATGATGATGATGATGGTGATGATGATGATGTTGATGATGACGATGATGATGATGATGATGATGATGATGATGATGATGACGAGGACTAGCGCAGCGCGGTGCTGTTCTAGAGCTCCAATTGGGCCGGACGGACCTGGCCTGGAGTACCGGGGGGTGGAGGTGCCTGGTGGTGGTGGTGGTGTGAGGTCGAGAGAGCTTTAGGAGCGTGGTGGCCACTGGAGTACGGCACCCACACGGGCTGTGACGGTGCAGGCCGTGCAGGTGCTGATGATACACATTGCTGCATGTGTTCCAATAATACACAGAATGAATTGGCCTCGTATCTTTTTTGTTGAGATGTCGTACATTGCCTATTTTTGTTCGTGTACTGCAGACCGGCTTGGACTCCGTCGCGGGGGCGGGGGGTATTCCCCGGGGGGCAGAAGCACCCAGCGGCCCGGAAATACACACCACCACCACCACCACCACCACCACCACCACCACCACCAACAACAACAACAGCACTGCCACCACCGGGGGCGGCCGGGGCGGTGGCGGTGGTGATCCGGGGGTACGAGTTCTGGACATGCTAGGCGGCTCGGATGCGGACACGCCGTACCCAGGTGACATGGTGGACGAGCCCGTACAACTTGAGGAGGAAACTCAGCAGGACGAGCAAACGAGCAAGGTATACATCACAACGAGTGCTGCGATAGAGAACAATAAGGATAAGAACAGGCGCCGATACTTTGTATATTATGAGAGTGCGTAAACTTCGCAGGACGAGCTCCTGAAGTTGAATACTGCGTATGGTACGGATGTAAGGGGTACGGCATCCAGTACGGTACTGCCTGGACATACTTCACGTTGCGTTACCTGGCAAAAAATCAAGTACCGTTGCTGAAAAGTCCCCTCCTCCCCTCCCCCGCGCTTTCCGCCGC